GTAAAAGCTGGCGTAGGTTGCTGTTATTTCTGACAGATCGTCTGGATTGAGTCGGAACCAATTGCATGGCCGCCGCCGCTGCTGCTGCTGCTGCTGCTGCTGCTGCTGCTGCTGCTGCTGCTGCATGCCAATGAGATCAGCACAGCAGCAGTGTCAGTTTTACGCCTCATCACAGTGACAGCTGCAGGATGGTCGGCATTATGTCGACATCAGACTCCCTTTGCCATGTCTATCTAGTGAAGAAACAGGACTGGTGCATTCAGATAGGGCTGACAAAGAACTCTATGAATACCAAAAAGGCTAGATGGCAGAGACAGCGTCTCAGTAGACGTCTTGTGATAATGTACACCAAAAGTCATCCTTTAGTGTATCTGGCTGGACAAGAAACATATCCAGTATCTCAGCTATTCGCTGTCCGAATGCCAGATAAGTCCTGCACTCAATAAGTGTGTGGCTTGTCAAGCAGGAAACTGAATTTGACACACAGTACAATGATGTTCTGTTGTGTTTTAGGGCAGTGGTTGCCAACCTTTTTGGCAAATGGCCCCTTAAGAGACGCAGTGGTTTACTATTAGAGGTCTGGGAGCCCATCCAAAAAAAAAAGCTAATGCTGGTAGAAAAATCTGATCCTCAGGATGGGAACCACAGTTTTAGGGCATGACTTCTTGAGTAAAGAAACTTAAACTCATCAGTTAAATAATCTCCAATTTCTAAATAGGTATGTCTTTTTGTTAACTCCCAGTTCAAGGCGCGGTCAAAATAAAAAGCATGCAGTTTTGGGCTTTTTAGGAAATGAATCATGCAACAGGAAATAAAAATAATGAAAACTGAACGGGCTCCAATGAATTTATTATAAACAAAAGACAAGGTTTTCCAAAGGACTGTGTAATGAACACATCCCTGTTGTTTGATGTTATGCATCTGTATTGGTACTAGGTGCCATTAAACAGGATCAAACAGATGATTAATGTCCCTGAAAGCTACAAATAAATGAAACTGCCCAAGTTTAAAGTTGTTTCTAAACAACTACTGCAAGAGAAGGAGAAGAGCGACACCACCTTCCCATTAGACGACGCTTATTGCATTATCATCACGCCACAACCTGAACATATTCGAGTGACATCACTGCTCTGCTTTAATCGCGTACCGACGTCGAGTTATAATCTCTCACCTAATGAGAGCTGTGGAAATTAGCCTGCTGTCACGATGACTGACTGTTTTAAGGAACGCCATGTTGAGAGGTGATCAGATAAAAAATAGAAATTGATTTTGCTGTAATGCATAAATTAAAGGTGATCCTGTGGGCTCGGCGCTCCCAAGCAGGCGGATATGAATAAGCTCCTTATTGGACTTGCTGGAGACGGAGAGTCTGTCAGTAATGGAAATGTTCTTTCACAGTCCACCGCGGTTTGCGAATAAAAGTTATTCGATTCAAGGATTTTATGGGCGCCAGGTACAAAACTACATTACTGTGATGATTTAAATGAACACCCAGCAGTTTAAGTGTGCAAAAAGAAGCAAATATTTAGGAGAAACAAGTGACTCGAGTGAATATACTACAAGTGTCAAGTCTCAGCGGTGATTTCCCGCTCCTCAAAAACGGCAAATTAACTTCCCGTGTAAACCGTGTAAGGAGGTAAATGCATGTTTGCCTGCGAAATACTTGACAGATAAGTAGCTGCTCTCTGGGATTCAGTCTGATTTGCGCTGGCTTTCACTTTGGTAGACTTTGCTTTTTGAAAGCACACACTGGAAAAGTCATGACACATGCACATTCGGTAGGAAACAAACACCGCGGAGAACGCATAACTTACACCGAGGCCGTACTTGCCAGGATCCTGCAGGGTGCGCCGACCGCGAATAAACTCTCTCGACTATTCTAAAGCTCATTCTAATAATACAGATATGTGGGAGCGGGACTGCTAATTATCCTCTTCACATGTAAATAGCTGCCCGTTCTGCTGTAATCCTGCACGCGTCTCCATCTATCTGCTAATGGTCCAGCAATGACTCATTCTGCAACAGATCTAAGGCCCAGAGGAACTTGTATCCATCAATCGTGGTATTAAAGCTTACTCACTCACGAGTAATGTCACACGGCACCTTGATGTATTTCAGCATTATGAAGACAGAAATTGCTACTTATTTTACAGCTTGTGAACGGAGGAAACCATCACATCTCTCAAAGCTGATATGGCTAATTTAAAGACCATCAGAGGTGCAACTTGATCGCCGTCCTCTGCCATCGTGACTCTGTGTGTGCCATCGAATATACAGCTCTAAGCAAAGTCACACTGCAGCCCTTTAAAGCTCAGACTTCTCTTGAGATTATAAACTTGCCTTTCCAGATTAATGTGACAGAAATGACTCCACCGCAGAGAAAAAAAAAAGCTTGGAATGTGAGGGGAAAAGGGACGTCTGCAATTAAATATACCGGTACAGGTCACTTGGGGAAAGTGCCTTGACCGTCCTTGTCCGCTCAACCGAAGCCACAAAATAAATGAGAAATACAGTCAGTCAAGTGATAAGGACGGAGTATAATCATGGCACACTGGCCTTTTCCAGATACTCCAAATAGACTTCCAGATCGGCAGATAATAACCAAAACATAACAGCATCTGTGCACAGCCCCTGGAGAAGGGACAGCTGCAGACAGTAAACAAATAGCTTATCTGACTTTAGCCAACAACCGAGCGCTGCTTTGACACAATAAACGGAGGAGATTAATTTAAATCCTAACATACGCTCTGCCCACGTACTGCGCAGAGACGGGCACAACACAAACAGACACCCTCCCGCTTCTGCATCCCCGGCGCTTGTAATGCCATTTGTTGCCGCGGCTGCTGCTGCTGCTGCTGCTGCTGCTGCTGCTGTCCCACTTCAATTTGACGTGGCAAACCTACTTTGCACCTCCGTCAGCTGAACACGTATAAACAAAGAGTTTCACATCAGAGGTCAAAAAGAAAAACTCTCTCGGCGTGTATGCGGTGGCAGAGCGTCACCACAGGGGGTCGCTGTTGCTGTAGGACAATACTCAATATATTTAGGGAGTAAATCGTAAAATCATCTGGAGCTAGAGCAGATTTTTACTACTTTACGAGGAAACGTAGAGAATCTCAAAGAGGAACAGATAGTACAGACACAGTCTACATGCATGTTTGCAGCGTAACCATTTGTCATATTTTCTAAAATCCTGTTAAACAGATATCTTAGATATATTTTATGTGTAGACATTTAATCTTACAGTATACAAAAAACATGGATCTTGAATGTTAGCCACAGCAACACAGGAGTAAAAATCTGCCAGCTTGTGCTCACTGTGAGCACCAGCAGCATGCACGGAGAGGCTGGAAGACGGATATTACATAAGAAGCTCATCAGTGGGGTAGTGGCCCACGCACTCCGCATCCTCAGTGGGATCTCTCGCTGTTGATCGGCCTCTCACTCAAAGTAAGAACAAAATGGCTGAGGTGACTGGCTGGGGGGGAAGAATGCAGCAGACAGGCTGCAAATTGATGTGAATAATTAGCCATTAAAGAGATGCTATACTCGGTGCAAAAGAACCGGGCGCCTATATGATTCAGAGGAAAAGGCAGCGTTAGAAATGATCAAATGCTTCAGGGAAGGGAATGCTAATTAGCCCATTAATGCATAACAAGCATTATTTATGCGTCGCAATATGGAGATTGCTCTTGTTTCCTAATGTTGATCCACTTCCTTTTGTGAGCAGAGAGCAGAGTGTGGTCAGTGGGGTCTTCACCGTGGTTAGAGTGCGTACTAATGTAAAAACCACACAATCCTTGACCTTTAATACCAGGCTGCGGGGCTTTTTTCTATGCAGCAGTTTTTATAGGAGTTTGAGCTCATTGCACCTACTGAGTGTCAACGAGAGAAGTGAACTGGACTGTATTAGCATGGAGACATTATTTCAGTAATTTCAGCAGTTAATTGATGATTAAGTCATTATTTGAGTCATTTTTTCAAGCAAAGATGCCAAACATTCACTGCTTGACAGCTTCTGAAATGTGATGCTTTGATGCTTTTCTTTGTCGTATCTGAATACTTGAGGGTTTTGGAGCAATTTCAACACTTCACCTTGGTCTACTGGTAATTTATTTCTGTCATTTTATAGGCAAAAACCATTAACAGAGAAAATATTGGGCGGATTAATCGATCGTGAGAATAATCGGTAGTGGCAGCCCTACAATAAACATCAGGGAATCTTCAATATTTTGACTGTTGGTCTGACATAAAAGCAAGTTTAAGAGGTTACTTTGGTATTTTTTTAGTTTTATTAGACAAACGATTAATCAGGATATGAAAGGCAGATAAATGGTTAGTCCAAAATACAAAAATCTAATTATTTGGCATTTTGGCAACTATGAAAATAGTTGCAGACACCTTTTCTGTTGGCCCAGTCATGAACTAATCCTTTCAGCACTACCTGTACGGTAGCTACAACACGTGGCGCGAGGCCTTCAAGTTCGATCCGCAAAAGACGGCCATCTAAACAGCAGCCGGAGGAAGGACGGATCGATTGTGACGTTTTCACAAACCGCTGTCGGCCTCCAGCAGCGGCGTGCCACAGAGGCAGAGGTTCCCAACGCTCCCAACACGTCACGCTGTCGTCACCCACCTCATCCCCCAGCAGAGAGATGATGGTCAACACCGCCGCCAAGCAGGCGGCATCAAGCCCCCGTGTGCTGCAGGCTGTGTGCCAATCGCCTGCCTCCGCTCTCACCGGCCCACAAACCCGCGTTGACTCCACGCCCACTTGCCACTCTGCTGCACAGGCAACCAGTTGCCGTGGCAACCCCAAAAAGCCCCCGCGCCTGTTTAAGTGTCAAGACAAATTTCACATTTTATACTTGCACA